TACTCGACAACAGACTTTCTTGGATGCCACATGTCAGGAATCTTAAGACTCGAATTAGCATCCTAAGCAACAACATGAGACGCATGACTTCACATAAATGGGGTATCTCATCTAAGCTACTAAAAATTTGGCATAGAACCATTACAGAAAGAGTAATAACTTATGGAGCAGCAATCTGGGGTGGCGAACTTACCTCTCATATGAAAAGATCCCTGCTCTCTATTCAGAGACAGCAGCTACTTCAAGTATGCAGGGCCTACCGTACCACGTCAACACTAGCCCTACAACAACTAGCAGGAATTCCTCCCCCTAGATTTGATAGTAGAAAGGGAGGCAGCTATCGTAAGGGTTACCAGGCTGGGTCAAACTTCAACACTCTGGGGTCATAGTTATCACCACTCGGACTACGAGGAGCAAAACAACTGCAATAACTTTCATCCAGCAGCTTTTAATCTCTCTGACGGTATCAGTATAAACGACCAACCAATTCAGAGGTACAGTAATAACCTTTTCACAGATGGCTCCAAAACTGAGAACGGCACGGGCAGCGCCTTCTGTAGACTAGAAAATGGAGTTGTAACATTCGAGTGGAAAAGGAAATTAGGCTTCGAACAACTCGGTATACCAAGCAGAGCTTCTAGCTATCAGTGCTGCAATTAGATATGCGAACACATGTCAACAGGAGAAATTCTCCATACTCAGTGATTCGGCATCAAGTCTGGCGGCTATCGCAAGTCAAAACAGCCGGAGTCCATTGGTATACAGAATTCAGAAACAGCTTCTGACAATGCCTATTTCGCAAAGACCCACTTTAAAATGGGTTCCCGCTCACACAGGGATTCAAGGCAATGAAGCCGCTGACCTACTGGCCAAGCAGGCAGCCAACTGCACGGATATATTAGAAAGACCAACTAAACTTCCTTGGTCTCATATTAAGCGAACAACTTTGACAAGTCTGCTACAAAATTGGCAAAGTAGATGGACAGAGGCAGAGGTAGGACGAAGGACATTTCGCTTACTGCCAAAAGTTAACATGGAAATAAAGACCCACTGTGCTAGCCTAACACAGTTCTTGACAGGTCATGGACCATTCCCAGTATACCTGAACAGATTCAGACTTAGGGATACTCCTTTCTGCGAATGCGGAGAGGAAGGCGACACGGACCATTATTACTTCCACTTGAAGAAACCAGCGGACTGTGCCTGGGCAATGTGGACGACTAACACACTCAAAAAACAGAATAGCCCTTGATAAAATAGAGAAAATCTCAGACACTGCCTAAGCAGAAACAACCGTGGATAATATTATAATGTTTCAAAAGTTCAGAACTTAAAGCAGATAACCAGAATAACGCTTAGTGCCTTGCAGTTAACAATATGTAAAAACTGTTATTAGTTTATAATATTCAACCTTGTTACTCTGGAGTCTTCCCCGCCGTGATGGTATATAATTCCGTTTGGTTCATGTCCGTGGTCGGAAGCCATCATAGCGGGTGCACTCACTCACTCATAAATTGAGCAAGGAGAAATAGTTGTGATGAGATGTTCTCCTAAGCTAGGTCAACTACCCACAGCCGAAATATCGAGGGCCATTTATAATAACGGAAATATTACCTAGAGACACCTACATAATAACTCAACTAGAAGCGAAGAATTGAAGTCGCTACTTACCACTGCTTATGTGAGCCAGCTGAAGCCATGGAGGTGCGACCACCAGCTCTGACGATGATGATGACGACGGTGACGATCAAGATACTGATCAGTTATCAAGCTTAATTCCTTGACGGAATCCAAGCAGATCTGTTCGTAAGGAAGACAGACAGAAGTTCGTAAGGACTGATGGAAGTGCTCTGCCCTGTGATTAAGGTGAGATCTTTCCTTTTTTTTGTGTGTGTGTGCTTATCTACGTATGTTTGCTGATAGAAAACTTAAGAAACTTTGAACTTTTAAACATTAATTGACTTTGAACTTTTGAACATTAGCTGAAAGACTTTAGTGCAATTGTTTTGAATCATTTTAGGACTGAAAAAAAAAATTGAGTTATTTCATATATATCACGTATTTAGTAATGATTTACAGAAAGTTTTCGATTATTATGCTAATGTATAAAATTATGTGAATTTATGTATGTGAAAATATTTTAGTAAGTTTATTATCATATCAAATTTTAGTATAATGTGTATTCTTCTTAGTGTATTAGTAATACGTATGTTTAGTATTGTGTATAAGAGTCGAAGTAGAAAATTGTATTAATTATAAAATTGATTTGTACTCCGAACAATCGGGACGATTGTCAGGTCAGAATGGCCGAATGTTATCAGCCGATAGATGGCATTGTAGAAAAGCCGCCGATAGGGGACGCACGACATCAATCGAGAATCGGGAAGCGAGAGAATAGGATTAATGTTAAGAATGTTCCGTAATGATATGTATATATGTATATATTTATTGTAATAATAAAGCATTTATAAAATGCAAGAGTTATCCCGATTGAATGAAAAGTAAAAGCCCGACTTACCCCTAGCCCTCCTGAGATTGATAACGGAGATTAAAGTTAACACATGTAAAGTAGCTTCAGCACAGAAGATGAGTCTTTCTACAAAGTCAACTTTCTCCATTTTTAATTACATCTCTTCACCAAAGTCACGCTTTTTCACTTTGTCTGCTAGTGTAAGGGCTTTGCACTAGTCCCACTTTGTACGGTTTAAAACATAGCTGCTTACGCAACACCTTCCAAACCACATTCTTTTGGCATGTTCAATTCCCTGCTTATTTTACTCAGTGACTTACGAAGGCTTCGTTGAAACGCTCCGCTTACTCTTTCAACGTTTGCATCAGACACACGAGGTCAACCAAAACTCTTGCCTTTACAAATGCACTCAGTTGTCACGAACTCTCGGCACCATCGACTTATGTTATTCTCGTGTAGTGGGTTTATACTAAACCGTGCACGAAACTGACGTTGCAACGTAACCACTGATATGGATCCTCAAAACGGAGCGTACAGAAAACCTTTTCCTGTTGTGACGCCATCTTGGAAAATGATACTGCGCAGTAAGCATGACAAGCAAATAGCAGGTACCTTATGAGAAACTTGAACAGTTGCCAATACTTATAGTGGAGGTTTTACTACGGGTAATGTGGGGTTACCACGGGTACCAACGATTTATTATCTAAATACAAAAAGAAACGATTATATGCTAAAAATTAAAAACAAAATTTTTTAAACCCGTCCTGCGCTGCAGGAGTGAAATAAAGTACACTTAAAGCATCTGGTTGCAATTATTAATATTATTGAGGAATTGCCTTGCTTTGATTCCAATTTAATATTGACTTAAAGCATTTAAAGTTTATTTAAATTATCTATATACATATATATATATATACATGCACGCATCCTCTTACTGGGCTTAAAACTCCTTACCCGGCCTTTATTTTCGCAATCGCTAAGTCGTAGTCATATACTTTCAATTACAGAAGTAGCTTAAATAACAAAAATATGCACGTTTTGGCTGTGTCAAATTTTTAAAAATAATTAATTTTCGACAAATAGCGACATCTAACTTTTACTGCGATCTACTCGTTCTTATCCTTATATTTGGAAAACTTTTATACTCGTTATGAGAAAATAAAACTATAAGAAGTTTGACTCTCGTGCGACAAAAATTTATCGGGATATTTAATTTCAAAATTTGCAGTTTCTGATGTCATTTTCAACTTTCCTTGAGAAATCGGTTAGTGAAGTTAGAATAATTCCAGTTAGAAATACGTTTCAATGAGATGCAGCAAAAAAAGTGTATAATTTAATAGGCCGGTAGAAGGAAGTTGTGTGGTCTTCACATCAAATTTTTATTCGAGCGGTAACAACCGTGGTAACACCCCGAACAATCGTAGAAAACCGTCAGTATTTCCTTGATTTTCTTTGATTTTTGCTTGGGTATTTCATTCTTGATTTACCTTTCAAACGCCATTCATTTGATTGCTCAATTTTCTGTATTAAAAGTGTAAATTCGTGTTTTATCGCAATAATAAGTGCTTTATGAAGAGAAACCTCTCCTAAGCTCCTTTAACTCTATTTTTTTTTTTTTTTTTTTTTTTTTTTTGAAAAAAAGCATTCATCGTTTTCAAAATAACTCGAGAAGAAAGAAACCACAAGCCCAAATAATGTTTCAAAATTGACCAAACGGATACAAGTGAAAAAGGAACTTGTTCAGCAATTGTTAAATGATAATTTCTAAACAGACGCTCAAATTTCTTGCTTCTATTATTTGAAATGGAAGATCTACCTGAGCAGAAACCAAAGTGAATAATATAATGTTTGAAATGATCAGAATTCAAAGCAGATAATCAGAATAACGCTTGGAATCTGCAGTTATCAAGCTAAATAATCCCCAAACTACTGATAAATTTATCATAGAATAGTAAGGCTCACTTTTATTCAACATGAAGTACAAATATAAGCGATTGTTTCAGCTACTCAGTACGAGTATTGATATGAACTAATTTTGTACAAGAAAGACTTCGTAAAATACAGAAACTGCTGTTAGTGCAAAATATTCAACACTGTAACTTTGGAGACTTCCCCGTTGTGATGGTATATATTTCTGTTTGGTTCACCTCCGTGGTCGGAAGCCATCTTAGGGGTGCACTCACCTATTCACGTCTGCTCTCTCTTAATTTCCAATCAGATATTGGCCTGTTTTTGTAAAGTAAATTTTCTATAACTCATCTCTATCTGGAATTAAATTAAAACTGGTGGTTAGAGAATCATAATTACTAATTATGCTTATCATGGAGAGTTTTATATTACACAAAGAGAAGAAACAAATATTTATACTCCTAGCAAATATATTAAGTAATCGCAAGAAGTGTAATATATTTAATAAATAATATTAATAATGTTTAAAAAAAGTCGCACTTTTGTTCTAATAAATGATTAAATTCTAATTCATAATTAAATTTCCTTCGTGAATATTCATATACGAACAATTTTATTCCAGGATACTCGAGCAATCAGATGTTGACTGTACAGACTGATGACGTCATCATCGACATAGATGGAACTAATGCATTAGGACCTAAGGAAACGCTCATTATTTTGGATTTTGTAAGTTCGTTTACTTCATTAAATATCCATACACCTTCCTAAAGTTTAAAACACTCACTAAATATTTCTGTCCTATTAAAAACATTTCTATTCGATCATTTTTACTTCCTTGTACGAAGTAAAAAGGAAGTATTGTAATCGCGAAAAGTTTCAGGCAACATATTTCAACGAAAATATCCATTTTGACCGCTATCGAATGCAATTTAACGATGTTTTTGCGTGATATCTGTACGTAAGGACAGAATAAAAGACTCTTTTCGTAAAAGCGCAGAATAGGCTGCATCAACAAAGTTCAGTAGGAGGAGATGTGTGACGTCCATAAATGGGTGGGACTAAGCTTATGACGTCACAATGTAGTCTCGCATTTACACTATGTGTACTTTCTATTTTCTCTTAAAAATAACAATAATAAATTGTTTATTATTGTAAATTAATATCAAATTCTTTACTTTTAATTTACATTTATAACATTTAAGCTTAGGCGTTACTGATAATAAGTATAATAAATTGTTTATATTTAAAATTACCATGATACAGTGAGCGAATTCTACCAATTATTAAAACGATAAACAACGTCGCAGTCTCTAATACTTGTAGAGCTTCAACATTTTCAAAGATTTTTTATTAAATTATTATTATTATTTTTATTATTATTATTTTATTAATTTTTTTAATTTATACAATAAAATAATTTTTTTTAATTTAAATTCATATTGTGGAACATTTCAATTTTATCATTTTTACAAATTACCTTCTTGCTACGTAACGACATAATTCCTTACATACCAATAATTTAGACAATTTTCATTATTTCTAAAAATTTTAAACTTTACATTATAAAAAAAAGAAGAATATTTTTTATTGCATATGAACATTCATTACACAGCTTTCATATCAGTTTCTAAAATTCCTAAATCACGTCATATTCTGTGTAGGTATGCTAGAATTCTACGCATTAATAAATAAAAAATCTAATTTCTCAGAATGAAAGAAAATAATATAATAAAATAAATACTACAAACTTGGAACACTAAGCAATGGCTTCACATACGCACACACACACATATTGAATACATGAATATTATCAATGAACTCATATTATCAAGTGCAATTACGATACCAAACACTACGTATTAAAATATCACATTAGACCCATAAACGTTACTTCAAGAGCCTTAAAGTTAACAAGTTTTGCTACTTTTGAGTAGATCGTCGGGCTTATCGATATATGTCGTAAGTCGGAAAGCGTTATAAACATATCAAAGCCAAAAAATTAAAAATACAATTTAAATGAAAAATGATGTCTTAAATATAATTCACAATTAAAACAACAATACAAATTTAAAATACACTAACGATATGTTAAACATTGCACATAAAATAAAGTTACATTACTGCTCGGCATCACACACAACCTCGTTTTTCCTCTTCTACACAACGATCAGTATTCGCTCGAAAAACATCAAAGAATTCCACAAACTCGGTGTCCATGTGTTCATCTATCTATTTTCACTTAAAAGAAAAATCAGAGAATTGCTCAAACTCGGCATTGCGCACCACATTGACTTTGACCATGTGCACATCGATCTATTTTCACTTAAAAAAACATCCCAGAGTTGCACAAACTCGGCATCGCGCACAACCTCGGCATTGCGCACCACATTGGCTTTGCCCATGTGCACATCGATCTATTTTCACTTCAAAAAACATCCCAGAATTGCACAAACTCGGTATCGCGCACAACCTCAGCACTGCGCACCTCATTGGCTTTGCCTATGTACACATCGATCTATTTTCACTTAAAAAATCCCAGAATTGCACAAACTCGGCATTGCGCACCACACTGCTTTGCCCATGTGCACATCGAACTATTTTCACTTAAAAAACCATCCCAGAATTGCACAAACTCGGCATCGCGCACAGCATTGGCTTTGCCCATGTGCACATCGATCTATTTTCACTTCAAAAAACATCCCAGAATTGCACAAACTCGGCATTGCGCACCACATTGGCTTTGTGCATGTGCACATCGATCTATTTTCACTTCAAAAAACATCCCAGAATTGCACAAACTCGGCATCGCGCACAACCTCGGCATTGCGCACCCTACTGGCTTTGCCCATGTACACATCGATCTATTTTCACTTCAAAAAAACATCTCAGAATTGCACAAACTCGGCATCGCGCACAACCTCGGCATTGCGCCCCCCCCATTGGCTTTGCCCATGTACACATCGATCTATTTTCATTTAAAAAATCCCAGAATTGCACAAACTCGGCATTACGCACAGCATTGGCTTTGCCCATGTGCACATCGATCAATTTTCACATAAAAAACATCTCAGAGTTGCACAAACTCGGCATTGTGCACCACTCAAAATCGCCTATACGTCTCAAAACCGTCTCTCTACTAGTTTCATATTTGTTCCACAAATTGGGCACTTATACGATATTGCAATCAAACTTTTCTCCATACACCACTTAATAACGCTCTTTTTGCCTCTTCGCTCCAACTGATTAAAAAAATCCAGATTCAAATACTCATCCATTCTGCAGTAAGCACCGATTTGACACACTCATCAATAATCAAAACATTCTTAAGCAAAAGAATTCTTTCTGTATTTCAGAAGTTACGGTTATAATTTTTAACTCATGCATTCAATATTTTCAATCGTTTGTTAATGATCGTTTTCAATCGTTTGATATCTTAATAATACATTTGTCACAGATAATTCGTTGCGTTAAATGCTAACACTACCACACACCACACAAAAGTAGATTTATAATTAAAAAAAATCTCGCGCAGAACATTATAAACTTACCATTTCAACTCAGTTAAAACTTCATTTAAGTTTTCTTTAAATACGAAGCTATAGCATACTTATAACTTGTTTTTAAGGAGAGGCGTAACCAATATTACTTCATAAAAAGGCGTGTCCAAGCATAAGAGAAGTAAACACAGCATCGACAGATGCAGCCTATTCTGCAATTTAGCCCTCTTTTCCTCCAAAAAAATTATAAAACTGCTTTAAAATTAATTCTGAAGAGAATTGTTCGTGGCGTCTGTACGAACGTATGTACGTACGTATCTCGCATAACTCAAAAACGAGTAGCCTCAGAAAGTTGAAATTTTGTATAACATGTAGATGTGCACCTCGTATTTTGGTTGCAATCGGCCGCACCAAACGTATATAAATATATTTATATATATATGCACTCTGTTACCCGGCTCAGTGATCTCAGTTTATTTACTCTTATATGTTTGTAAATTGTACATTTTTGCTTTAAAAATGATTGAATTATGTTGTTTTTATCTTTCGGTTAAGGTTTTTATGCCTTTCGTAATTCTGGAAGCAATATTTGTACAATTATCAACAATTTAAAAGCTGTTTAAGTGCGGTTAAGTTTTAAATAACATGGCGGACATATCTGCTTACATTTGAAACAGCAGAATTGTAGATTTGTTGCCAATCTAGTGACTAAGCTTCGCAATACAAAAATAACGCCTTCATTTATTATTGCGAATTAAATCATGCTTAATCCTTTCTGGAATTTGTTTCGAGGAAATAAGTATTTAAGATTTACTTCGTAATTTTTAATGCAGATATTTTAAGTTTTTATGTACTTTTGCCTTGTCGCGAAGTGAGAACTGAATTAATTGAATGAGAAATACTAAATCGTCTGTGAAAAACTGTTTTTTTTTTTCTGTTTTGTTTGTTTAATTTCTTTCATACATCGTTTTAGCTTTATTATAGTATTTGAATAGAACATGTGGCAACGATAATTCTTCAAATGATATAAATTCTGTGCATTCAGAGTGTCGTTATAGTAAACAAACATAGTGAATTTTAAAGAGTGCATTTATTCTATTGTAGTTTATGCACTGTCGACGAAGTAGATTTAATTCAATCCAATCAATTTAAATGAAATTGAAGAAAAAAAATTCGTATAATTTAATATTCTGTACAAGGAAGTCATCTGGTGTACACATCAGATTTTTTTTATTTGGAGAAACGTAGAAAATATAGTGATTATTTTACATTTCTTTTTAATTAATATAATTCATTCTTCATTAGAGTTTTAAATTAATATATATATTTCAAGAAATTTAATAGGATCGTGGATAAAAATTCCGTAATGAATGAGTAGCGCACGTATGTATAATTTGGACTCTGTTTCGAACATGTAATAATAATAACAACACTTCTAAGAAGAATCAAATTTAGAAGCATTTTCGTTTATTCAGTCAACAAGATTTTGCTATAACTTTTCATACCTGAGAAAACTTAGTCTTTGTTTAGCAATGAAATTTTTTAAAAATTACACATTAAAAAATATCTTAATGCATTTTAAATTACTAAACGTAGTTCTCTGTCTTTAAGAGGCAAACTTTGCTCTGGAGGCAAATAGAACAGTTTGAATAGTTTGTTCTTGAATAATAAAGAAAATGCTTCTTTAATGCCCTAAGATTTTCATTTGAAATTAGTTCTCCAAACAAATATTCATTTAATTTCAGACTTCAGTAGTTTCAGACTTTAAACATGACATGCGGAAAAGGTAATCTATAAAAATATGCTTTCCAAAGTTATTATAACTTGACCTAAGAAATGTAAATAGTTCCTGGTAAATCTTCAATGCAAGCATTTACGTATAGTAAGCCTTGCAAAGCATTTAATTGAGCTTGAGCTTTGCTATAATTTATTGATAATGCCATTCAGATTTTTCTTGACAATGTGGAATTCTGATTTTTTTCTTGTATTAATCATCTATGCCTACAGCTTTACACCAAAAGAGTGCTAGTTTAAAAAAATTACTGTCTTCTGTAAATTTATAAATGTAACCATCCTGACGCAACTGGCTTCATGGTAGATCGTGTATACGAGCCATTTTCCCTTAAAAAGTTCTCCATGAAGGCATCCCTTCCCTCAGGCAGATAGTCCTATTGTGCTTTGCCATAATAAACTAATCCTATCATGCTAGATCTCTAAGGTTTATTTTAG